CCCCGGTCAACACCCACCAGCCAATGATACGGAGGAACAATTTGAATCGCACTTCTAACTTTTCGGATCCGACTATAAGCTTGTTGCCACCGCCATTGCCTAGAAATGCATGGGCTGATGTTTTGGAGGATTCTCTTTCTCCAAGGATTTTCAGAAAGTCAGGGGATCTTACTTCACTTCTGTACACGACTCCCAAGAACCATGATAGCAAAGATGCTTTGGAGTTTGGCCAGAAATCACAACTAACCATCCAAAAACTTTCTGCGTCGTATCCTTCTATGCCGGCACCAGCGATGGGGCTCCATCCAGGGCGACACCAGTGATGCCGCCACCCGCCTCATCATCATCTTACCAGAGATACCGCTGTCGTGGATCGAATAATGCCTGTAAAATCCATCGCTGGCCCTTCCTTCTGCAGTATTTTTTTTTTCTTATTTGTCAAAGCGTCAGGGGGAGTTGCGTTTCCAGCCGGTCATTTCTCCTGCAGTATTTTTTTTCCTTGCCCAAGCGTCAGGGAGAGATGCGTTTTTAGTCGGCTATTTCTCCTGCAGTATTTTTTTTCTTTCCTGACCCAATCATCAGGGGAGCCCTGTTTTCAGCCGCCCTTTCTTCTGTTGTTTTCTCTGTCAGCAGAATTTACTGGGTGTGATTTACATGTTTTTTTTTTTTCTGCAGCCAACGACAACCGCGGTCAACTAAAAGTCTGTTTTTCATGTAGGTTGTCTCTTTCTTTACAAGACTTAAAATTCAGTCAAGTCTGAATCTCTCTTCTACGTCGAAACATATGTCATACAAAATGTAAAATTCAGCCAAACCTTAATCCAACAAATTCAATCAAAATCTGAATCTCTCTTTCACGCCGAAATATATGATAGACAAAACTCAAAATTCAACCAAGCATGAATCTAACAAATTCGATAATCCAAACGACCAATTTTTCTGCATTACTCAGCATGTTAGGAATTATTAACATACATTCCAAACTTGAGAGGGAGTGTTAAGAATCATAATAGGAAATAATTTATTCCTATAAGAAGTTATGAAGGAGATATTTTTTTTTCCTATTTTATATTTATTTCCTTGGATTATGAATTATTTATTTTCATATTTTATGTTATTTCTTATATCTCCTAATAATTAATATGAATTAATTATTGGAGATATCAGGTGATATATCTTTCCTTTCATATCATTTTTTTTTTATTATTTTTCTTATTATATGATTCTTGTAATGGTTATTTATAACCTTGTTCTTATTAATGAAATAATTAAGTATTTCACTTTATTCCGCATTATTCTGAATTTCAATAGGTATCGTCCGTGTTTCTCACATCAATTAAATGGGAGCTTTTTCAGATAGGAGTCATCGTCGAGCAAGTTAGTGCTCCATAAGGGTGACAACACTATAGATTTAAGCCAGAGTAGGTGACATTGTCGAGTAAGCTAGGGCTTCAACTAAGGCAAGGGAGGCCTTCTCATGCAGTTTCCTATAAGTTTCAAAGCACCAATTTAGACAAGGATGCTTTGGATATAATGGACCTAAATGATAGAGTGACTGTCTTTTATGACGGCTCTGAAGAGTTGAAAGGTAGTTCCTGAACCCTTGATAAATTAGACCTAAGAACTCTTACTATCTTCAAGATGACTCCTAGTAAGTGAGATGTAAAATGCTGTTAGGAATAATTCATCAAGGTGAATTCTTGAGAATGAGGGGCATTTTCCATAAGTTGAGGAGTTGTACTTGCCAAGAAGGGTGAGTTCGTGGTATGAGTTGTCGACAAAGGAGTATGCCAACCCTCGGGCCAATTAGATAAGCTGCCAAGAAGAGGTAACTTTTTGAGATGAATTGTCGAGACAATAGTTTCTTAGGGCAAATATTTGAGAGGTCATTAGGAAAGATATGGTTGTCAGAAGAAATTGTTGAGAAAGATCAACTTCTTGAGAGGATGTTGGCTAATGGCAGACCAAAATAGGTTGTCCAGAGAGGAAACTATTCAGGGTTAGCTTCCGAGACACTAGTTTCTTGGGACATTTCAACAAGAGGATGCTAAGGAAGATATGAATCTTGGGACATTGATTGGATGGGATTTAGAAGATAAGGATTCAACAATAAGGGAGATCACAGTAATTTTGGTGCTGAGGATATTGGGGGAAAGGAAAGGTGGTGACAAGAAGTTCAAGAAGATACTAATTAGATACCTCAGGTTGGAACAAGAGAGTTTGAAGCCAGAGGAACGCCCAAAGTTTGCCTAAGGAGAATCCTAAGGCTAGGTTGCCCTAGGTATAATTCAAATCATTAGATCTTGGGGTGCTGTAAGAGAGATCAATAAATGAATTTTCAACATATGTAATATATTTTATAGAGTACATTGTCTATGTTACCGGCACGTGTAGAATAATGCATAACCATGGTGAGGAATGATTTAGGAAGAGGTCTTGCAACATCCTGTAGGCAATGTTGGATGCAGCTGTGAAGTTAAGTAATAGGTACTTAGGCAATGCGGGTGGTTAAGTTCCAAGTACTCTAGACCTTTGGGATATGTTGTTGTTAAGAAAGTTTTCTCTGGGATAGGATGGTTATCTAGTAACCTCATACTCTATGGGATTGAAAAGGTATCAAGTAACCCATTAACCCATACTACAGCCAAAATTATATATATATATATATATATATATATCAATAAATGAATTTCCAGGATATGTAATATATTTTATAGAGTACATTGTCTATGTTACCGGCACGTGTAGAATAATGCATAACCATGGTGGGGAATGATTTAGGAAGAGGTCTTGCAACATCCTGTAGGCAATGTTGGATGCAGCTGTGAAGTTAAGTAATAGGTACTTAGGCAATGCGGGTGGTTAAGTTCCAAGTACTCTAGACCTTTGGGATATGTTGTTGTTAAGAAAGTTTTCTCTGGGATAGGATGGTTATCTAGTAACCTCATACTCTATGGGATTGAAAAGGTATCAAGTAACCCATTAACCCATACTACAGCCAAAATTATATATATATATATATATATATATAATATATATTGGGGGAAAGAACAACGATGGCTCCCTACGCGTTAAATATTTAAAAAGAAGGTACAAGGATAGGGAGGGGGAGAGAATCCCCTTCTAGAAAACACAAAAAATTTAATTAACTCACCCCTAGGGGTCCCTCTCCCCGTAGTACAACTCACCCAAAAAAGAATCTCCAAAATACAAATATACCCAAAAACCAAAAAAAGTAAAAAAAGAGTGATCCTGTGTACTTGTATATATTGGAAGTATCTTGAAAAGAGAAAAAACAAAGAAAATCATGCAGAAGAGCTGTCCTCAGAATAGTAGATATATCCAAAAAGACCGTGAGCAGGGACTTCAGCACAACCCGTGAATCCAAAAAGAGAGATCATCCTGTAACAAGTGATAAAAACAGCCAAACCAAACAAAATAAAAGGGAACTGCAAGAAAAAAGGCAGTAATGCCCAGCCAAACCGAATAGAGCTTCATTTGATGGCCAAAAAACGTAAAAAACTTAAAACCGAACATAAGGAAGATTTAAAGTATCCCTAATGATGAGTCTTCGAAGAGGGGCAGTGGGGTGTATGCCAAATTATATGTATATGAACATATATATATGATAACAATCTTTATTTTTCCTTGCATGTTGATAGTTAGATGTAATATTAATAACTCAACCATGGAATGTTTTGAGTACTGAAATGCCCATAGACACCAATCAACATTCCCCAGCATAATTTGTTAAGTTTGAAATTACTAAATTGATTGAAAATTTCCAAATAGAAACATCAAAATTAATAGAAATTATACATCCATATGGTAGGGCTTGACAATGAAAACGATTAATATTTTTAAAATATTATTCAACTGTTGAGCGTTTTTTACTGCTGATGGCTTTGCTAGTCGAAGCCGTTTGTTCTATTTTTCCCTTGCTTTTATTTTATGTATTTAACCAGCCACTCAAACTGGAGTGCAAACGGACCTCAAAAGCTTGGCCACTCAAATCGGTATTCTGATTTTTGAGCGTTCATCAAAATGGCGTTCTAATTTTGGGGTATATAATTTTCTGAAGATGAAAAAAATACGTTGAGTTGTTGGCTGCTATCGTGTTCAAAAAGAAAAATAAAATTCCATTATTTTTCTCTGCCGTAAAATTGGTATTTTTTATTTTTTTTTTTCTTTTAATGGTTTGCATAAATAAAGCCTTCAGCTATTGTCCATTGTTTTGCTAAATCTCATTGAAAACCTTATAGAATAAGAAATTTTATTTCATATATTCCATTATTTTAAAGCACGTGCGCTCTTTATTCTCATATATGCAGGGGACAGGTTCTAGCTAACAGTGGAATCGCTTCCATTTTGTTAGTTATATTGGCTACATTGGCTAGTGGACAAGATCGGTGTCTGGACAGTAATGAATCCAAGATTATAACAGGTCTTATTGGTGGTATCCTTGGCCACTATGCCTGTTGCAATGGCGATACATGGTCTTCAGAACTTGGAATACTAAGCATTTCGCAACCCCGGCTAATCACAACTTTCAAGGTGCAATTTCTGTTGATACTGTTCATAGTTTGTAAATTGTCATTTAGTCATTTTTTGAACCATTTGATGTAAGTTTCCATGAATCACTAATGAATGAAAATAATGTGCTTCGGTTGTTAGCAGCTATACTCTTCAAAATTTCTGAATAGACGATGTAGAACTCCATATTGCACTTTTCCTGAAGTTTTCCACGACGAGCTTAAATGCCACCTCATGAAATGATGCCATCAAGTGAAATTTATGATGACATTATGTGCATTTATTGATTTTGTTATCATCAAGTACCTTAATCGCATGAAGAAGTAAAATTTTCTCTGGATCACTTCATCATCATATCAGAATATAATCCCCAACTTCCTATATTACTAGTTATTTTCTCTAACAGTTCAATCATTTTAGTCTTTTCCTATCTTTATCATTCTTAATTCATGCATAAAATAGAATAAAAAAGCTGGCTTTATGTATTGCTGATGTTGATCTAATCTTTGCATTTTTTTCTGACAATATTTTGAGCAAATAGGCTGAATACCTCTTCCTTTGCTTTCATTCCAATAAATAGTAGTTTGTACAATCTATTTAGGTACATGATATTCAGTATAATCTAATTTAAGTAACTTAATAAATATCTATTCATAATCTAAATATTCAGCTAAAAGAAGAGAATCCTTGCAATTATAATATTTCCTTCTTTGCAGTATTGCGAAGAAGGAATCTTTTTATTATGTCTGATTTCTTTTATTCCTGATTGATATCCCCCTTCAAATTGATGCTAGCTGGTCAAGAAGCACCAATTTGTTGACAAAAAACTGATGACACTGTCGAGAAAGAGCTTTAGTAAATATATCATCCGCTTGAAGATCAGAAGTGATATGAAGAAGAGATATAACACCCTCTTCATAAGCTTCTCGAATGGAATGACAATCCACTTCAATATGTTTCGTGCGTTCAAGAAAGACGGGATTAACAACAATCTGGATAACACTAGTATTATCTGCATGTAGAGAAGTAGACTCAAGCTGAGGAAAACCAAGCTCAACCAGCATGCCACAAATCCAAATGATTTCAGAACAAGCAGAGGACATAGCACGATATTCTGATTCAGTAGATGACTTAGACACTCGATCTTGTTTCTTGCTCTTCCAAGAGATTAAAGAGTTGCCGAGAAACATGCACCATCTAGTAATAGATCGACGTGTATCAGAACAACCAGCCCAATCGACATCACTATAGGCTGTTAAGGTAATAGGAGACTTTACAGAAAAGAACAAACCACGATGAGAAGTACCTTTAAAATATCGAATAATACGTCGAACTGCAGCTAAATGAAGATGTGTAGGGGCTTGCATAAATTGACTAACTTGTTGCACAACAAATGAAATATCAGGACGCGTAATAGTCAGATAATTGAGACTGTCAACCAGTTGTCTATATAGAGATGATTCAAATAGAAAATCACCATCATTCTATTGATATTTGACATTTACCTCCAAAGGGGTATCAGTAGGGCGACCATCTTGAAGACCAGCCAAAGCAATGAGTCCCTTCGTATAGTTGTGCTGATGAAGAAAAATACCAACGGCAGAAGAGTGAACCTCGAGTCCTAAGAAATAAGTTAATGACCCTAAATCTTTCATATGAAAAGAACCCTGAAGATGTTTCTGTAGCTGAGACATCAATTGATTATCAGATCCTGTGATGATAATATCATCAACATATACTAATAACAAAATAATTACCTTGTCAATCTTGCAAAGAAATAATGATGAATCATACTGACTTTGGATAAAAGAGAAGCTAAGAAGGGTATTGTGAAACTTTTCAAACCAGACCCGTGGTGCCTATTTCAAATCGTATAGGGACCGTTTGAGCTTACAAACATCATGTGAAGGTATAGAAAATAAGCCTGGAGGAGGAGTCATATAGACGTCTTCTTTGAGATCCCCATGTAAGAATGCATTCTTAACATCCACCTGCTTTAAGTACCAGCCTTTAGATGTAGCAATAGATAATATCAGTCGGACAGTTGTCATCTTAGCCACAGGTGCAAATGTTTCGTCATAATCACTCCCGTATTTCTGTCGATTGCCAAGAACTACCAATCTTGCTTTATATCTGTCAAGAGAGCCATCAGATCGGAGTTTAAGAGAATAAACCCATTTACAACCAATGAGTTTAACACCTGTAGGACATGAAACAATATCCCATGTGTGATTGTCTTGAAGTGTCTGAAGTTCCTCTTTCATGGCTTTGACCCAGCAAGTTTATTTAGCAGCTTAAAAATAAGAGGTAAGAACAATAGTATTAGTTAAAATTGCAGAATACCCATATCTATCTGGAGGACGGAAACGTCGGGTTGATCGTCGAATACTTAGTGGAGCAATTTTTGGATCAGGGTCGGGGAGGGTTGAAGGTGAAGGGGCAGGCGTCGTGTGCAGACAATGTCTGACTTGAACCGTTTATCAGCAGAAGAATTATCAAATTGTGGAAGTATAACTGTATCTGATATGGACATATGATGTTGAAAGTAATTTTCATGTTCAAAGAAAATCACATTTCGAGAAATATGTCATCGACTATTAATCGAATCATAACAACAAAACCTTTTTGATTAGAACTGTACCCCATAAAGACACATCAGACTGACTGAGCTGTCAATTTATGACGTTCATGAGCAGGTAGATGAACAAAACAAACGCATCTGAAAGTATGTAGCGTATGATAATTAGGGTGTTTATCAAAAACTCAATAGTAGGGAGACTCAAACTTCAATTGCTGAGATGGTAAGCGATTAATGAGATAAACTGCAGTAGACAAAGCTGCAGTAGACAAAGTAGCTAGAACAGAAGATTCTATCAGTAATGTGCGCACGGTATCCAATAGATGTCGATTTTTTCGTTCAACAACTTCGCACGGTATTTTCTAGATGTCGATTTTTTCGTTCAACAACTTCATTTTGCTGCGGTGTATAGGGACATGAACGTTGTGAAACAATCCCTTTGTTCTGAAGAGATGCTTGGAACTCATGAGACATGTATTCACTGCCATTGTCAGAACGTAAAGTTTTAATGCGAGCGGAGAACTGAGTTTCAACATATGCTAAAAATGTTTGGAATACAGTAAATACTTCTGTTTTGGCACGTAAAAAATAGATGCAAGTAAATCTACTGTAATCATCAATAAATGTCACAAAATATCTATATTGAGCTTGTGAATTAACTGATGTAATTCCCCAAACATCACTATGAATAATGTCAAAACATTTATTTGCATGACTGCCTGAAATTGGAAAAGGTAATGTCATGCTTTTTCCAAGTTTACAAACAGAACAATCAACTACTAAATTCTTATCTGTAGAACAAAAAACACCACTTTTATGTAAATGCTTCAACACCATATCATTTAGATGACCTATTCTTTTATGCCAGATTTCTGTCTTATTCTCAATAACTGAATATGTTAATGAAATATTCTGAGGAACAGTAAATTATAATGGAAATAGTCTGCCCACTTTAGGCCCTTTCGCTATCACCTTCCCCGACACTTAATTCTGCACAATACAACCATCACGAGAAAAATGTACTTCACAGTTATTATAGTTATTATACAAGTTATTATACACAATTTGACCAACAGAGAGTAAGTAGATAATTTAGGAGAAACCAAAACATGTTTGAATGATGAGTTAATATCACAAACTGTCGTAATTGGAATATTATTTTCATTAACAACCTGAATATGTTGAGTACCAGTGTATGGTCATTGGTTATGCAATAGCTCAACAGTGCTAGTCATGTGATTTGTGGCGTGTGAATCAACAAACCAAGGAGAAGTAACCGAAGAAATAGTTTTACCTTTCCCACCTTTCCCTTGAGCAGAAAATGCAGAGAGAATCATCTGTTGGACCATATAGGGTGTGACAGTTGATTGATTATTTGATTGATTATTGTCAGCAACAGAACAGTAGAGGTCGAGGCAGGATTGTCGGATACCGTGGCATGAAGTGCTTGTGGTTTACGATTTTGGCATCGTGTTGGGCACTCCGTAAGAGTATGTCCCTTTTGCTTGCAATAATTACATACTTTATTTTCACAATTCCGTGTAATATGACCAAATTTTTTGCAGTTGTAGCATTGTACTGGCCCATTCCCTTTGGTCTTAGCAGCATATGCCACATTAATTATTTCTGATGATCCACCTATTGTACTGATAGTAGCTCGTGTCGCCTCGTGTCGCCAATCGTTGTTCTTTGTGCAGTAATTGCCCAAAACAAACATCTAAACATGGAACATGAATCTCTGTTCAGCAACCCAGCTCAAGCAGTTTCAAATTCAAGTCTGAGTTTCATAAAAACTTATCACGGCGACTTTCTTCATGAATATCTTGAAGACTAGTTAAGTTTTCCTTGGACACATTAGCATAAATAATGTCAGCATATTCACTCTACAAATTTAAAAAACCAGAATAATATTATTCGATTGAAAGATTACCCTAACTATAATTACTCTTGTCAAGTTCCAATTGGAAGCGTTTCGCAGAATTATCTTTGATTACAAACGCGCTTCAGGTATTTCCACATTTCTTTAGCTGTCCCAAATGATCGCAAATTGTTCACCATATGAGCCTCAATAGATCCCAAAATTTAGGAAACAATTCATGCATCATTTGCTTCCCATTGACCAAGATCTTTTGTCTCAGTAGGAGCTGGGGTAGATCCATCAATATGACCCCAAAACTCCTTCCCTTTTAAGAACATTATGAGCTGAAATTCCCATGCGGCATAATTCTTTCCCGTAAATTTAATAACTAAGATTTCAGAAGACATTTTAAAATAAATAAAATTCAAATCCAAAGGCTAGGGTCGTGACGATCGATCGAACGGAGTGGATGCAGATTGGAGTACGACAGGAACGATATGACGAGCAAGCGAAGATGTGACGAGCAAGCGAATGACAGATCGAATGATAGGCTGAAAACTCAGCGAGCGGAGATGTGATGAGCAA